GGGGGTGGGGGGGGGTGCTGTGGCCCCTGCAGCCCTCTGCTCTGGGCCTGCTGGCCAACCAGGCAGGACAGGCTCACCAGGAAAGGGCCTTTTACAAAACCTGGTGGGATTTCCACAGACCTCAGTTCTAAGGCTCTTTCCTCAAGCTCAGGAGCTGCTTTTACCTTCACAGAAATTGTCTGAACATTTAGCAGGATCACTGGGGGCACAGTTTGGCTTCACAGTATAAAAAAAATCCAATTTACTGCTAGGATGCAGTGGCTCATCTCATCCCCTGGTGCTCCATGGCCCAAAGTTGCCAGGAGCATCTGACACACATAAGCAATCTTTTTTTTTCTTTCCTGCCAGCTAGAAATTTCTGGTAATGAGAGACTGATGAGGATGTTTCATATTGTTGTGGTTCTGTGTTGAGAGCAGATACAAGAGGGATTTGCTGCTACTTTCCAATCCCTGGGCTGCAGGGTTCCCAGCAAAATGATACCCTGGAGGAACTGGTGGGGAGAAAACTCATGGTCTTCAGGGGAGGACCACAAGGGCTTTTACCCTCAGGATCTGCAGGGCTGGTCTTGGATGGGATCATGGTTCCTGGGAAGTGAGGGTCTTGCTTGAGGGGCTGCTGACACCTCTGCCTTTACCTCTGCAAATGCACAAGCATTGGAGAGAAGAGTGAGATTCAGGATTAGCCACAGGGAAAGATTGTTGCTGATGGGACAAGGCTGGGGTGTGAACTGGCCAGGTGCTCGGAAATCCTCCTCATAGGAACCGTAAGCAAGATCAGGTCAGTGTGAGGGAGCTGGGCCAAGGGATAAAGCTCCCCAGTTCCCACGCTGTCACCTGGACAGGGCTGGTGCCTCCCAGGTCATCCCCATTTCCCAGCCAGGTCTGTCCTCTGCTGAACTGCATGCTCCTGCTGCCCCTGGTGCCTTGCCCTGGGCTGGGGCTCCCTGGGGTGCTGCAGAGCTCACTGCTCTGTGATGAAGACCCCCCTGCAGTTCCCCCTCCACACGGCCTCTCACAGGCCCCTGCAGCCCCCAAACCCACAAAGCTGGGGGGGGGGCAGAGTTCCCAATCTGCCAGGCCAGGCCTCCTGCTAGTGCCAGCTGAGCAGCTCCCCTGAGTGCAATTAACACCCGGCAATTAACTGCAGAGAGGAGCTTGACTTCTTTGCTGGAGGGAGGAGTTTGACTCCTCTCACTCGTACACCCAAGTGCCTGCCTGGATCCTCCCGTTTGGGGCCTCTGCAAAGTCCTGGCTCCCATCACAGGCCAGATGAGTAATTTTTCTTCGTGTGCATTTAATTAGGGCATCAGTGAAAGGAGACATCCCCTTTCCCACACCTGCTTCCCTTGTTCTAGCTGTTATTTTAGGGGAAAGGTGTGAGTTGTTTTCCAGGATGCCCTTGCTATGTAGTTCCCTTTCCTCCCTTTGCCCATGGGAGCAGCAGGAAGAGACTGGCTCAGCCCTGCCCCTTCCCTCTGAGGCTCTGCTGACAGCTCCCAGCTCCTGGCAGAGGTAGGAGATCATGAGGTACAACCTGACCCTGGTGGAGGCTGCCCAGGAATGTGCTCCTGGGCTGGGTGCAGCTCTGGGCACTGTTCTCACAGGAGAACCCAGGGGTGACTCAGCTGAACCAGTGAAACTGGTCTTGGTGGGGCAGAGCTTTCCTTGTCTGCTGTTCAAAACTTTGTCAGCTGTTAGGGCTGAGCAGCAGGGCTGGGAGGTGGAGGAGCTCCCTGGTGAGCAGCCCTGGTGGCTGGAGCAGGGATGAGGAGCCAGGAAGGGCCTGGATGTACTGGGCTGGGGGTGGAGGAGCAGCTGCTCTCGGGGGTATCACGAGTGATCTGTAAAGTCATTGTGAATTATGTTGTGTAAACGGGCTGGGAAGGGGCTGGGGCAGGTTGGCAGCCAGGAATCACACAGAATCCACAGAACCCCAGGGCTTGGAAAGGACCTCGAAAGCTCCCCCAGCCCAACCCCCCTGC